CAGGACTGTGAGTTGAACGATAGCACTAGAAGGGAATGTATGCCTTAGAACAATCGGCAATATGAGATCAAAAGAGTAGCTTTTGCCCAGGGATTAAGCTCAGAAGTCAGGGAGGGAAAGAAAAGAAGGACCGATGATGAAAAGAAGAAACACAGGAGGAAGTGGGAAGTGTGCTGTTACACATTCAATGGGACTGCATTCAATGTCACAAATAAAAATGTGTATGAATTGTTGAATGGAAAACCAAACTGCACTGTAAACTTTCACTTGAATCACAATAAGTGGTTTTAAAAAATTAGTCAAGCATTAACAATTTTTAATGAATGCAGGAAAAGGCCTCTTTTATTCAGCTCCACCTTGAATTTGTATTTTTGGAACTGCTCTTAAGAAACTGGGATCTTCTTCTCTCAGTGCTCTGTGCTTCAACTTTCTAGATGGATTTTGTTAGCCTTTAGCATATTTGTCAATGCTTGGCTGGAACACTCTGTGCTTTGAGGGTGTTTAAAGTCCACCCAGCACAATGCTGCCATTGGTTGCTTCCATTCAGGTCCTAGTAGGGCCTGGCTGCCCTCTCTGGCCGTGTAAAAAGCCTGTTCTCCTTAGCAGTCATTGGTGACTGTATCATATCTAAATCTCTCTAAACCTTTCCTAATGTCGGTCCTTTATTCCCTTTGCACAGACAATTAACTCTTTTTTTCAAATGCATTTTATTGAAATATAATTAATATACAGTGAAATACACAAAACTAAAGTGACATGGGTCAATTAATTTTTTTTCAGTGTTCCCTCCCACCCTGGCAACCAACAAGCAAAGTTTCCCTCCATATATAAACCTTTCCTTGACCCTCCACAACAACAAACTAATACTATATTTGTCCTTCTGTGATTGACTTATGTCGCTCAGCATAATGTCCTCCAAGTTCTTCCATATTATGTGTTGTTTTGCAGACTCTACATTATTCTTTAGTGCTGCATAGCATCCCATTATGTGTATGTACCATAGTTTGGTCATCCATTCTTCCACTATAAATCTTAGAGATAAGTCCCTTGCCAGATATGTAATTATTGGCAAATAAGAATTTGTTGCTGTCATTTTTTGTTATGTGCTTTTTCATGATGTCAATTTCTTTGTTCCATATAATTTTCTATGGTGAGCTTGTTTTGTTTATGAATCGTGTTATCACTTCCTTCATTGCTATTGTTTTAATATTTGCTGAATATTTATGCTGGTCCTCTTTTTTGATGTAAAGGTTTATCATTTTCTTTGACGTTACCCTGTGATTTATAGTTTTCTTCAGTTTAGAACAGTCCATTCTATCTTGTAGTTGTCTTGACTTGCCTGTGATCTAGAAGTTCTGTAACTACACAGTTTTTTTTTTCCCCCTCTTTTTGGTTTGTAGTTGTCCTCATTTGCCAATTGATGTCTCTGGTTCCCTATTTCAATCTTGTAGGCTTATTTGCTTTGGATACTTCCATAGCTGAGTTGGTTTCTGGGTTATATCATCATGCGAGTTAATGGTCAGTTGTTGTTGGTTTTTTGTCCAAAGGGCTCCTTTAGTATCTCTTGTAAGGTTGGTCTAGTTTTAACAAATTCCCTTAATTTCTGCTTATCTGGAAATGTCTTAATTTCACCATCATATTTGAAGGACAGTTTTTCTGGGTATATAATTCTTAGTTGGAAACTTTCAGGGTTTTATATATACCATCCCATTGTCTTCTTGCCTGCATCATTTCTGTTGAGAAATCCGAGCTTAGTCTTATTGGTTGCCCCTTGTAGGTAACTTTTTGTTTTCCTATGCTGCTCTCCTGATTCTTTCTTTGTCTTCGGTTTTGGTAAGTTTCATGATGATATGTCGTTGTGATTTTCTTTTGTGGTCTATCCTGTTTGGAGTTCGTTGGACTTCCTGAATGGATATACTCTCATGTTTCATCATA